GTGTTTAATTTTACAACGGGTGCAAATGTCTCCTGATAGTCTACCCCAAAAGTCTGAGAGTATTCTTTGGCCACCAATCTTGCTTTATACATTTCAATGGACCCATCAGCCTTATATTTGACAGCAAAGATCCATCGGCATCCTACCGTTGGTTTATCTTGAGGATGATCAACTACTGTCCACGTATCATTAAGCTTCAAAGCCTTCATTTCATCATCTACCATATTTTTCTACTGTGGATTGCTCATAGCCTCTTGAATGGATTTTGGTACCTCATTGGCTCAAGCCAAGGTCTGAACTGCTGAAGATAAATGACTATAACCAACACATCGAGCAATTGGATGTTGAGTAGACGATCTCACACCCTTCCTAAGTGCAATAGGGAGATCAAGATCATTAGTATTCTCTTGAGGCACAAGGGTAGATTGTTCAGTACCTAAGGACGAGATGGATTCATGACTTTGTTGTTGAGGCTGTAGTGGCTCCACTCCTCTTTGAATCGTTTGTCGCCAAGAATAAACAAGTGTCTCAGGTTGCTTGTCAATTCGATTTGGGTTGACTTGATCATTTTCATTATTATAGGAAAGAATAGGAATTGACTCTTCTATCTGAGTAATTGGGACGATCAGGATAGGTATTTTTGGCTGAGGTGACTCGGTATTTAGACCATCAATCTCAGGTATTTTTGACTGAGGGGACTCAATTATGGTATTTAGATCGTCAATCTCCCAAAAATTCCCATCAAGATTACTTGTAATAGGCTCAGTCTCCCCCTGAGGGGAATTTAGGAAGAAAAAAGATTGAGACTCAAAAAATGTGACATCCACGGTAGTGTAAAATTTATTGGTGATAGGACAATGGTATTTATAGCCTTTCTGAGTAGGAGAGTAACCAAGGAAGGCACACTTTCTGGCTTTTGGCTCCAATTTGTGACGTTCATGATCATAAACATGAGTGAGTGCAGTACATCCAAATATTTTGAGGGGGATTGTGAGGACAGATCGGATTTGAGGATAGATAGTGAGTAAGATTTTTAGTGGAGTGTTAAATTTCAGAACACGAGAGGGCATCCAATTAATGAGATAACGAGTAGTAAGTTTGATTACAAAAGCACGGCACTTTCTAAAAGATGTCTATTTTTCCTTTCAGCTATACCATTTCGTTGGAGGGTAATGACACAGGAACTTTGGTGAATGATTCCATTTTGAGACAGGAAAGTTTCCAATGTTTGATTAAAATATTCTATCCCCTTATTTGTGCAAAGAATTTTGATTCTCGTATTAAATTGATTATGAATGAGAGAACGAAAGATTGATGCAGTTTCTGATTTTTCTTTAAGTAAATAAACCCAACAAACCCTAGTGTGTCATCAGTGAAGGTAAGGAACCAACGTTTACCGGACATAGTTTTGATGCGATACGACCCTCATAAATCACTATGAATCATTGTGAATGGACTGGATGGTGTATACTCAAAAGAAGGATAAGATGTACGAGAGTGTTTTGCAAGTTGACACACTTCGCAAGTAAAAAGGTCATCTTTATGAAAAAGTGAAGGATACAAATGTTTAAGATACTGAAAACTCGGGTGCCCTAAACGGCGATGTAAAATTAGAATTTGTTGTTCTTTAGAATTTGACTCACCACCAACCTGGAGAACCTGTTTATTTCTTAGACTTGGTCCTCTGAAGTAGTAGAGCCCTACAAAGCCATCAGCACTACCAATCGTCGTTCTTGTTATCATTCTTATCAAGTCCTAAAACAAACACTTATAGTCAGCGAACAGGGCTTGGCACTTTAAATCATGAGTCAACTTCTGAACAGAAATTAGATTGCAACATAATTTAGGCAGATGGAGTACTAAGTGCAATGTAATGTTCCGGTTAAGAATAACATAACCAAAGCCCTTAATAATGGCCAATGACCCATCTGCAAGCTTGACATGTGTCTGAATCGGGTTGGGTGAGTACATGGTAAACATATCATGAAAAGCGGTCATATGATCAGTTTCACCCAAATCTAAGATCCACTTATCGGAATGCTGCTGACTTGTTAAAGCTGCACTAAAAATACCTCGTTGTGCCACGAAACTTGACGAAGGAGTAGACTCAACCGATAGTGTTAAGAGGCGATAGAGCTGTTAAAGTTGTGCCTTCGAAAATGGAGGGAGAGAGGTGGCCCAAACAAATAGAAGACTCTTGAGCCCAATTCCAAATAGATAAGTATGGAACCTATAGAAAAATGGGATCTTATTGGTTTCTTAAAAATTTATTTCATTATATGGTTATACAGAATTGGATATAGAGTTCTAACAGCTACGACCTTACATTGACTTCATACTTTGTAGGATATTTTATATTACTCAAAGTTGAGAAATTTTCCTATTCGTCAGAACTTCAGTTTTCTGGAAATATAAGATAAATATGAACAAGCTTGAACAAAAGTTAGATTACCTTATAACTTTTTATCTTGTTCCAGGTTCACTGCTTGCAATTTCTGATTTATGAGGTGGTGTCTGGTGGTAACCTTAGGAAGCCCGGGGGGCTTTTTGGTAACAGTGCATCTGAGATTCCCATTAATGATTTGAAGCAGTTGGAGGCATTTTTCTACAAGCTCAGCTTTTTTCTGCACATATTTGATTACACAGGTACCCTGCCACACTTAGGCATTCATCCCTGCAAGGTGTTGTTAAAACATAAATTTTTGGATTGACATCTTCATATATTTCTTATCTGCCCCTCGTCGAAGCTATTTGAAGTTCATTATTATAATATTATGGTGAAATCCGCAATCCAGCTGGAATTACGCTTTTTAATCCTGTTTATCCAGAATTCTCGTTTAGAGTATAGCAGTACATGCTGGAATAATGTGCCTCTGGAGGAAATTTGCTACAAATTTAAATCATAATTAATATTACTTGCCTCCCAACATCTTCTTCCAGCTCTTCACCACTGTCCTGTTATGCCTCATCCTCGTTGATCATGTTGATAGCTTTCCTTTGAGGACATTCATTAGATAAATGTCCGGTTTGTCCACACCGAAAACATTTACCCAATGTTGGGCGGTTATACATGTTTCCTTGCTTTTTACCTGCCACAATATTGGTTGGTTTATCTTTAATGGAATCAGTTTCAAGTTGCTTACCTTTACCGGTTGCTGAGGTTTGGAGAAGAGATATTGTCGCTTGGATTGGCAGACCTTTTGGATGTCCCTCCTTGTTCCCAATTGCTTCTTCTTGAGTACTGTTTCTTGAAGCGATTTCCAACTTGCTCTTCAATGGTAGTTGCGGTTGAGATGGCTTCATTGAGATATCCAATTGGTTGTAGTGCGATCTGTTCTTTAATATCCGACCATAGACCACCAATGAATCTTGCTACAAGATGTTGTTGGCTTTCCAACAAGTTGGTTCTTGCTCCTAACCGATAAAACTCCTCAGAGTAATTGGCTATAGATCTTGAGCCTTGTTTACAATTTTGATATTGATCGTACAAAACTTGCTCAAATTGATTGGGAGAAAACGTTCCCTCATGAGTTTTTTCGTACGTTCCAAATTCCTAATTGGTTGTTTACCATAGCGGTATCTATTAATGTCTAGTTGATCCCACCAAGCCGAAGCTCCACCCTTTGGTTTTAATGCCACTAGTCTAACTTTCTTATGTTTGGGAATCCCCATATAACTAAAAAAAATTTCTACGTTCTTAACCCAATCCAAGAAGCCTTCAATATCCATCTTACCATTAAAACTAGGGAGATCAATTTTCATTTTGTATTCATTTTGCTCTTTATTCCTATTTTGGTTAGGGTACCTACTGAACTTTTCTCCTTCAAAGGCAAGCAGCTCCTCTTCCTCATTGCTGTAAGAATCAAAATTGATCTCATTTCGTCGTTGAAATAGAGGATTCCGGCTGACTTCTTGATGAAAAAGGCATAGTTCTTGGCGGTTTCCTGGACCTAAACGGACTGCTTGTGGTCTTCTTGGTGGGTCCGCTTGCCTTTCTTGCTGATAAATCGTCCTATGACCCTCCATCCCCACTTCTTGATCCATTCTTTCTTGCTGCAGCGGGGTGTTTCTAACCGAAGATTGTTGTACACCCATGGCTTCAAGCTTGTCACGAATAATCTCCAAGATCTGTTTAATCTTGCTGACGTCCTGCTGGATGGCCTTCACCTCTCCTTCAACCGACAGCAAGCGTACGGTTGATGATCGTGGCGAGAGAATGGATACTTGCTCCATTTCTTTATTGACGAGAGAAGAGTCACCGGTGTTGATGGACTTCTTTCCCGCCATAACAGCCCAGAAAATTGGGATGCTCTGATACCAACTTGATGCACACAAGAGGGGGAGTTTTCTTGAAGGAAAATGATGATCCTTTATTAATGAAAACCAGCAGCTATTTATAGAGGCTGTTGGGCTATTAACTACACAGTAACTAAGTTACCTTCATAAAGCAAACTAAAAACCTAACAACTTAACCAACAAACGGAAACTAACATTTTAACTACATCAAAAAAGCTTACCTTTATGTCTCATCCCGAAAAAGGATTCTGATTATTAAAGATTATTTGAAAGAATGAACGGTTCCCTCTTTGTCCAAGTAGATTTTAAACTCCTTTGGCGTTCAAGTTTTGATTTACAAAGGACTTCGACTTCTTTTCTGTTACAAGACTGGTCTTTGAAGCTTTTTGATCACTTATGTCTTAGTCTTTGGTGGTTATTGTTCTTATTTTGTCCGTAATGCTCCTTGTTGAGCCTCTAATATTTTCTCTTTCGTATTCCTTTGCAATGTCATTCTCTCACTCCTCCAGGAGTTTGTATCCTTGAACTTTTTCTTCTTTTCGTATATCAATGAAAAGTTGTTTCTTGTTAAAAAAAAAAAAAAAAAGTCATATGTCTGAACTGAATAAAATTATCTACTGTGCAAGTCTTGTAATAGAAACATTGATGAGCTATTTCCTATGATCCACATTGACAATGCTACTACTTTTTTGCAGTGACAGTTGCAACATTAACGGATCTTGGATTCCTATGGTTTAGAGAGTTTTATTTAGAGACATCTCGTGTTATTCAGGTAGTTTCATGATTTACAGTCAGCTATGTTATTGACATAAATTTGCACATTCAGTTTGTTGAGATGTATGGTATGTGGTGAGTATGACTTTAGGGAAAATCTCAAATCAGATAGAAATATTCTATTCTTTGCTTTCAGCTCCTATGATTCGATTTAGGGAGGTGATGACCGTGGTTCATTTATTCTTTCTTTCTTTCTTTTTTTAATCATTTATGCTTTAAATAAAAAGTCATACTATTGATTTAATAGCAATATTCTACTGTCAATGATGTCAAAGATAACTTCATGAGTTTCATGATGAATCACGGAAACCTAAGAAGCACGGAGACAGACACGGATACGACACGACGTAGACATGGTGACACATTATTTTCTAAAAATCTAGGACATGGACACGGCAATGACACGTTTATTAAAATATACAGTTTTTAGGAAGGAAATTCAAAGTCAATAAGCTTGTGCATTTTCATGTATAAAAGAATTAGTTTGATATATTTTACCCTCAAAGTTTATTATTTTGTCATATACTACCATTTATATTTTGTCATATACTACTATTTATGTTTATTTCTGATGCTTAACAAGTGTTCGACATGAGCCTAACAACGGTCGAATTTTATTCACTTTTTACAAGTAGTGTGTGACACGCGTCTATTAAACTTCTGACACATGTCCGATAAGTGTCGGAGTGTCGAACTGTCCGACACATGTCCAACACGGACATGTTACCCAAAATGAAGCGTCCGTGCTTCTTAGATGGAAACAATCTCAGTTGGTTGTATGCATTCATGCAGATTTTAGCATATTTAAGTCATTTGTATCTAAGAACTGTGTTCTGAGACCTCCAACTTTCATGATATCCTAGATCTTCGTATTTTGTATACTACTGGTTCATTTTTTGTATCTCCATAATGTTTTACAAGCCTCTTGAAATTGTGAACTCCTTCCATTGTAGGGTACAATAATTGATTTTTCCTCTTTTTATTATTTTTTTCTCTCCTCTATTTCAATAAATGCTGTCTGATTTTTTCATTATTTGCTTCTGAAAATGTTCTTAGAACTCTGCTACATTAAGAATCTCTCTTTTCTGCTTGCAGTTTCCTATTGAATGCTCCCTTCCCTGGATGCTGGTGGATTATGTCCTTGAGTCACAGAATGCAGGCCTTTATGAGAGTGTTCTATTTCCACTTGACATTTACAATGATTCAGCTCAACATGCTTTGGTTACTTTGAAACAACGTTTTCTCTATGATGAAATTGAAGCTGAGGTTTTTTCTCTCTTAAAATTCAATTTCTGAGTTTACTTTGCATTGAAGTAAAGACTATTTAAGCATCCGAGACACCATTATTTTCATAGCCTCCTGTAGTATGCCTTGTTTATTATTTATGCTTTTGATCTATCTGTTATTTCATTACTTTTACTACCTTATATCACCTTTTGCTCTGTCTCAGGTTGACCATTGTTTTGATATATTTGTCTCAAAACTATGTGATTCAATTTTTACACATTACAAGAGTTGGGCTGCGAGGTACGCACTGCTCTTTGTGATTAGATACTTGTTCTGTGAATGAACATTAACATGGTGCTCTAACCAAACATTACAGCGAGATGCTCGACTCGTCTTTCCTATTTGCCATAGACAATGGTGAAAAATATTCTGTCCAGCCTATGAGATTTAATGCCCTTCTAAAGATCACTAGAGTCCAGGTAAACTATGCTTTCTGTTTATAGCTTACTGATCTAGGATAACTTTTTCCGTTTCACTTCTTACTGTCCTCTGATTAAGCCATTCATGTGGGAAATTACTTTCCCCATATACATATATATAAGTACTTGCATGTATATTTCATCATTGGTTAACAATGTTATCCTTTTTAATGAATCAGTGTACAGAGCTTGTACTACATGATCAATATGAACTTGGATATTTATTCTCAACTAATAGTTGGTTTATCGTGTATGAACAAAAAACCGTCTATTTATTGAACTCAGTAAACCTAGTATAGGCTTTTTTATTTATCCACTTTTTTTCCTATGTCCAAATTTTTATGTTAACAGTTACTTGGGAGGACCATTGATTTAAGAAGCCTGATTGCTCAACGAATGAACAGAATTTTTCGAGAGAATCTTGAGTTTTTATTTGATCGGTTTGAGTCTGAAGATCTTTGTGGCATAGTGGTAAGTAGTTTCTTTGCTTGGTCGTGATTCAATTAATACGTTCTTTTTATATATATATATATATATATATATATTTTTTTTTTGTAACACAATGAAAGTAAATCAATATGTTTTAGGAACTAGAAAAGCTGATGGATGTCTTGAAAGCGGCCCACGAATTTCTGTCCAAGGATCTTTCAATAGACTCATTTAGTCTCATGCTAAATGAGATGCAAGAAAACCTCTCTCTTGTGTCATTCTCTGGTCGATTGGCTTCCCAGGTTACAAATCTTTCTTCCCTTCTACATTTTCAGCAAGGTCTTCACATTCTTTTCTCGAGATGCTCTACACCTAGGAGACTAAGTACTTAGTGTATAGTAAGAAGTCAGGGTTCTATAATTAAATATATTTTATGTTTTTCTGTGAGCAATGATCTTTATTCACGTTACTGTATTTATAATCGTACAAACCCGGGCCTTCTAATAAGGAGGAAGAAAGCCACCTAAGGAAAAATATCTAATAACACGATATTCTACTAGAAAATCTAACTAGGGAGGAGAGAGGAGAAGAGGTAGAACACGTAAATAGGAAGGAAGACTAGTTACAAAGAAGGGATATTGGGAAGAGTAGAGACTAGTATGTAATGTGATTAAAATATGATTAAAAAATCAAATATTTAGAACAACTGTTAGAACTTAAAATTAAGATGAAATTATTAAGGGAGGTGCAAGAAGAAAAATCACAAATTTCTTCCCCTTTAACTGCCTTTTAGTATAGAAAAACCAAAAGGTTTTTAAAGGATTAACATACGTATTGTTACATACTTTCAAAAAAATTGGAAAGTATAGTGTACTTTATTAGAAAACCAAAATGCTTGTCCAAGTTTTGGAGATGAAAATTTTTAGAAGTAAGTTGTAATATTTCTTTACCTCTATCAAATTAATTATTTTTAGTCTTAAAAAATAAAAATAAAAATCTTTCAATTCAATGTTTTAAAAATCGTTTGAGGCGTAAGCCTTGAGGCACGCCTAAGGCGTGGCGGACTTGAGGTGCCTCAAGGCTTACGCCGGTGCCACATAAAATGAGGCTTTCGCCTCTAAAGATGGAGGCGTAAGCCTCTTTGCTTACGCCTCTGAGGCTTGAAAAGCGTAAGCCTTAAGCTCCAATGGGGGAATTATACAAAAAAAACTTCATGTGGTGGCTTTTGGCAGTATTTGACTCATTTATTGCTCAACTTTCTTTTCCTTTGTGCTACTGGCTTGTTTTACGGTGGTGGAAAGCAACCATTTTTTTTTTTTGTCTGTTTTGTTTTCTCTTTCTTTTATGTGATACTACTGCCAGCCCACCTTATTTCTACTGTTATATGGATTACAAAATTTTCAACAATTATTACATCAAAATATTTTACAAGTTTTTTAATTTTGGTTAAGTAATGTTTTCCGTTCTAACTTCTAATAAAAGTAATTGATGTGTTTTTTCATGTGTTTTTTCTAATTTTTCTTTTCTCCATGTTTTTCCTTTTTGTTTTTTAATATTTTCGATATTCCTTTTTATTTTACAAATTTTTGAGAATTACTTTTTTAGTTCTAAGTGATGTATTTCATACTTCTATATGAACACTATCATATTAATAATACAAGATTTTACATTCCTATCATTTTTTTTACTTTTTTCCTATTTAAAATGAGGCTTATGCCTCACACCGCCTCACGGCTTACGCCTCGCTTCTTCATGAGAAAAAGCCTCAAACCCGCCTAACGATTTTTAAAACATTGTTTCAATTTTAGAAAAATAAAGGAAAAGAAAAACTATATTTGAATAAAAAATAAAGGGCAGAATAGAAATATAAAATTTATCCTTTATCAGCATCAGTTAATTTTTTTTTTTTCAAAATTAATATTTTATTTAATTGAAAATCTTACTTTATAGCTTTAATGATAAGAAAAACTAATGAATAGTGTACTCTTGCCTTTTGTCCGTGCAATAATTTCTGTTATACAGCACGAACCTTGTTATGGTATTGAGATTTTCACTTGTTTTTCTTCATCCATTTTAATTTTCATGTAATTTATCATGTTAGATTTGGTCAGAGATGCAGAATGACTTCTTGCCGAACTTTATCCTATGCAATACTACTCAGCGATTCGTAAGATCGTCGAAAGTTCCTCCTGTTCCAGTTCAGAAACCATCAGTTCCACATGCCAAGCCTAACTTCTACTATGGTACTCAAGTACGTTAATTATTATAGTCAAAGTATTCCAACTCACTTACATATAAGACCATATTGGTAGTTTATTTTAAGTATAACCGTTGTTATCTACTTGAGTCGTTAATAAAGTATTTCATATTTGGATTCGGCTCTTTAATCTTGTTTGATATTTTTGTATTCGCAAGAAAATTTCCAATTGTATTTATGCTTTCAATTATTTCCCACCATGTTAGGACTTCAATTCTGCTCATCAAAGTTTTGCACGGTTGCACAGTGGATTCTTTGGGATGACTCACATGTTTTCCATTGCGAGACTTCTAGGATCTAGATCCTTACCATGGCTTATTCGAGCACTTCTGGATCATATATCAAATAAGGTATAGTATGAATTGAATATATCCTTCCATGGAATACACTTATTAATATTCATACAATGTAAACACGTTATTCTATGCATGCACATATATAGATAGAGATACATGCGCACACACATGCTCATACAATTCACATAGCATGTTGAAAAATGTCTCCAACGAACGAATGGTCATAATTGAATGTAGATGCATATAATAACACTATAATTTTTTATTTTATTTATTTGATAATTATTATTATTATTATTATTAAAGAATGTTTTTTAATGGAGAATTGAAAAGTTGCCAACGTTAAAAATACAGACCCCAACCCAGCATAAAAAAGATGACGACAAAAAAAAGCCACATCTTGTAGAAGTAATAAATCATCAAAATACCAACTAAAAACCAAAAAAGTGACTACAAAGATCTCAATTTTGGGAGAAAAATAATAATTTCTCTTATTGAATAGTAAAACCCTAAAGCCTCTTTTAAGTAGAGGTCAGAGACAAATCTAAATAAGGAATCTAGTACAATAATATACTAATTACAAATAATAAAAAAGAGAAGCAACTAATAAACATTTTCAATAATTATTTACTAAAAAAACGACATAAAACCAACACTTCCCCTCAAGCTGGTTTGAAGATATCTTCCACTGCCAGCTTGTCAATCAACTTATCGAATTGCAATTTTGGAAGGCCTTTAGTCAACGCATCAGCGATTTGCTCCGTTGTCGGCAAGTAGGCAGTACATATTACCCCTGTAGTGATCTTCTCCTTAATGAAGTGTTTGTCAACCTCAATATATTTTGTCCTATCATGTAAAACTGGATTGTGAGTAATGGAAATTGCAGTCTTGTTGTCACAATAAACATGAATAGGTGCCTCCCAAGTAAACTTCAATTCTTTTAGTAGCCTTTTTATCCATATACCTTCACAAATACAATGAGCTAACGCCCTAAACTCTACTTCAGCAAAGCTTTGAAGTCCTAACTTTTTTTGGTATTCTAAGTCAATCAGCTATACATCCTCCTTGCATGTTGGTATGGTACAAATTGATTAGGAATGAGCGTAGTGCAGTAGCTGTTGTTCTTGTGGTCTGTATAGCAGCATCAGTAGAGTAGTTATCTCTTCTCACAACCGTCTATCCATCTTCTTAGTTTAGTTTTCCTGTTGTATGTCTAGCTATCTGTCGCATTATGTTACTATATTCCACGAGCCTCCTTGCTTCCTTAAGCCACCGTTCAGGAGTCGAGGTTGAGTTGTCGGAGATCCGTTGAGGCAGAGACTCTATGTTTCCAGCTTCTGGTCTGAGACATAAAGAAATAAGTAATATACCCCATTGACATTGATAATTGTAGACAGATGGATAGTGTGCATTGATGGATAGCAATGGTAGTGAAAGATGTGTATAAGAGACAGAGTTTATATAATGAATATTTGTTTATACCCCATTGACATTGATAATTGTAGACAGATGGATAGTGTGCATTGATGGATCTACTTCTTGCCACTAGTTTTTTTACTACGCCAGGTAACTAAGTTACCTCCTACAAAGGAACAGTAACCAGATGTGGATCGTCTATCAACAGTACTACTCGCCCAATCGGCATCAGTATAAACTTCAACTTGCAAATGGCCATGCTTTCTAAATAGTATACCTTTGCCTGGAGTTCCTTTTAGATACCTTAAAATTCTGTGAACAGCTTCAAAGTGAACTACACCAGCAGAATGCATGAATTGTCTTACCAAACTCACAGTAAAGGCAATATCAAGACGTGTGTGAGACAAATAAATGAGTCTACCCACAAGTCTCTGATATTTCTCCTTATCTTTAACTTGTTCATCTTTTGCCGCTTGCAACTTCAAATTCAATTCAATAGGAGTTTCAGCTATCCTGCACCTAAGTAAACATGTCTCTTCAAGTAAATCAATAATGTATTTCCTTTGATTAACAATGATTCCCTTTTTTGATCTAGCAATTCCACCCCTAGGAAATATTTCAAAGTTTTCAAATCTTTAATTTGAAATTTACTAGCAAGTCTTTTCTTCATAGAGGCCAATCCACCCTACATCATTGCCTGTGAGGATAATATCATCAACATAAACAATCAAAACAACTTTTTTGTCATTACCATTGCACTTATAAAAAATAGTGTGATCTGCTTGGTTTTGAAGGAATCTGTTAAATTATAGTTTATTTTATTTTAAAGGTTTCCTATTTTATTTAGGTTAGGGTTTTATTGTTCTAATAGGTAAGTATTTCCTTATCCTAATAGGCAAGAATTTCTTTTTAGTTTTTTCTTTGTGACTGCTATTTATATAGCCTTGTATCAATCATTTGGAGTAATAACGGAAGAATTATTTTCTTTTCTTATTATTAACATGGTATCAGAGCTCTAGCTTTCTTCTAAAATTTTTTTTTTAACTTAGTTTTTGTGCCCATTAGGGTTTTGTGCTCATTAGGGTTTTGATGCCCATTAGGGTTTTTGTCCATTAAGATTTTGTTCATTACTGCCGCCGCTCAACTCACGGCCACTGCCA